CATTGGCAATCCGAAACACCTCGAGACCCGGGTACCAGCCATTTGGACCCCCCCCTACCCTACCCTACCCTACCCTACCCTACCCTACCCTACCCTTTTTTTTTTTTTTTTTTTTTTTTTTTTTTGACAGGTGGAAATGCTTTATGCACACCGGGTACAGGTTCTTCCCTTCCCCGGTAGTGTGAGGACTCCAAGGCGGGGTGTGCAAGCCTTGTATACCCACTAAAACCACCTCCCTTTTCTCCCCCAATTGCAAGGCGGTACCGTCAGCTAGTGACTTTCGTCAACCTTGCAAGGGTTTGTCCGTCCTATCCTCCGTTCTCTCTATCCTCCTTTTCTTTCCTTTCAATTATACCTTTAAGGCATGTGGCAATTGCGGTATACTTTTCCTTATTTTTCAGCATCAGCCCGATAATGCTTTTAGCATCGATAGGAGCGTTGGCCACTTCCCTCAGCTTCTTCCGATCTTCGTCGAATCTGGAGCAGCTGAATACGACGTGCTCCGGGGTCTCCGTTACTACACAGGTAAGACATTTGTCGTTTTCGATTTTGCCAATCCTTTTCAGGTACGATCCGAAGCAGCCGTGACCAGAAAGAAACTGCGTAAGGTAGTAGTCAACGCTCCGAAACCCACACTCATACCATTCGCTGATGTTAGGAATGAGGGTCTTGGTCCATTGAGCCTTATCCTGTAGGCCGTCCCATTTCCCTTGCCATCTTTCGATCGTTCCTTTCCTTGCGAGGTCCTTTTGCCACCTTTCCTTCCATTCATTTTGATACATCTCCACTCTTTCGGTCACCAGTTCATCTATAGGCGGGTTTCCAGTGATGACGGCCAGCGCCTCGTGCGACACAGTACGGTAAGCACTACAGATTCTCAACAGTATTCTTCTCTGCGCTTTAAGTAGCTGCAATCTGTATTTTTTAATTTTTATGGCATCTTTCCAAACTGGTGCCCCGTATAAAAGAATGGAGTATATCACTTGACCAACGATGTCCCGTTTCCTGCTGCCCATGCCTCCCACGTTCGCCATTACCTTTTGTAGGATCCCCGTTCTATTGTTGGCCTTTGTACAGCTCTCACGTATATGGACCCCAAAAGTACCCTGGTGGTCCAAATATATACCAAGGTATTTTATCGCTTTTTTTGGCGTTATTGTCGTGTCTCCCACCTTGAATTTTATTCGGTCTCTTACCCTCTTCTGTTTTGTGCCCTTCAGTATGATAGCCTCGGTCTTGTTGGTTGCCAGTTCTAGGAAGTTATCTTCTAGCCATTCCACTACGGACTCTATGCTGCGGTTGGCTTTTCCCACTAGTTCACTCATGTTCCCTGCTCGAATGATCAGCGCCAGATCATCGGCAAAGGCCACATTTGTGCACCCCTCCTCCAGGTGTATATCTAGGATGTCGTCGTACAAAATATTCCACAGGGTCGGCCCAAGGACCGATCCCTGTGGAACTCCACAGCCAACTTCTAGACTTCTATTTCGTCCAACCTCAACTGTCCTATCTGTAAAGTAATCCTCGATAACTTTTATCAGGTATGAAGGCACATTTTTCGCTCCCATTTTTTTGATGATTTGGCTCCAGGTTGCGGAATTGAACGCGTTTCTGATGTCGAGTGTTATCATGGCTACCCATTTGTAAGCACTGTCCTGTACTTGCTCCATCACCCATTGGACCGCATTCACTGTCGATTTGCCTTTGCGGAATCCGTACTGTCTTTCTGACAGTCCATTTTCCCCAATGGCTTCCTCTAGTCTATTTCGCAATAGAGCTTCGTACAGCTTTCCAAAGGTGTCAAGCAGGCAGATCGGGCGGTACGATTCCTTTTGTTCGAGGGGTTTCCCTGGTTTCGGTATGAGTATTAATCTCGCGCACTTCCAGTCCTTAGGGAAAATCTGGGCCTCCAATGCTCCGTTTAACACCCCTAGGACAGTGTTAGAATGAAATTCGATAACTTTTCTTACGGCCTCTGGAGGGATTCCGTCCGGACCTGGAGCTTTACCAACCTTTATGCTCTTTCTGGCTGTGTCCAATTCGTTTTGGTCAAACGGTCTCACCGACACTCTAGGTCTTTGATTTCCCCATGTATGTGGATTGCAGCCAAAAAGACTCCTTGCGATTTCCTCCTTCCGATCTTCTGACAAGCAGTACGGTAAACTGGGTTTTATGGCTCTCATCGCAATCGCATACCCTTGACCCCAAATATCATCTTCCAGTTCGTCACATAACTTTCTCCAGCATTTCCTTTTACTATTGTTTATAAGTTTCTTTAATTCCTTTTTACATATTCTAAGCCTCTCTTTTAGTTCTTCATCAACCTGACCCTTTGGTGCTAGACGCGTTAAGATCCTCCTTAGTTCCACACACTTCCTCTTTGCATCCTTTATTTCCGATGTCCACCAATATGGTATAGCTCTATAAGGATTTTTATTTCCCAGAGTGCAGATCCTCACCTTTTTTTTGATAGCTTGTACCATATCCCGTGGAGTGCTCGCATCAAGGTCACAAGATGAAATGATCTCTTCGAATTTCGCCATGTCATATGCTATACGCTTCCGTTGATTTGATCTTGAGCCGGATTGATTTGTCGAGATTTCATAAGCTATGTGCTTATGGTGCGTGTAAACTTCTTCGTCGAGAATTTCCCATTTTTGTATGTGCTTACGCAGGGATCTTGAGCAGCAGGTAACGTCGATATGCGAGCTGGAGTCACCTCTTATGAAGGTCGGTTCGCCAGTATTTACAGCCTGTAGGTCTAGCGTTGCCATCCATTCGACCCAGATTTCTCCTCTGATGTCCGTTTGTGGAGCGCCCCAGTCCTGTGCTTTAGCATTTATGTCTCCTGCAACAATGGTCTTTCGTTTTCCGCTTAAGATTCGTCTCATCATTTCGTCCACGGTCTTCTCATACGATTCGATGGTTATGTTCGGCGACAAGTAGCAACACATTAATTGGAACCTTTCAAAGTCAACAATGATATAACTCCGTTGTGTTATAACATTTTTAATTCCACAAGACTTGTTTTTGACATATATTGCTACGTCTCCGTTTACATCACTTATCCATCCATTTCTTTCAGTTGTTTTTTTATTCGGCTCCGAAACAATCATAAGATCAATTTCTTTTCTTTCCATAATTTCCGAGACGATATCATGCGCATTCCTACTTCTTCCCAAGTTGCACTGGAGTACTCTCATGCTGATGGACGATTATTGTAAATGTATAAATGTATAAATGTGTGAATGTATGAATGTATAAATGTATAAATGTATAAATGTATAAATGTATAGATGTATAAATGTATGAATGTATGAATGTATAAATGTATAGATGTATAAATGTATAAATGTATAAATGTGTAAATGTATAACTGTATAAATGTATGAATGTATAAATGTATAAATGTATAAATGTATAACTGTATAACTGTATAAATGTATGAATGTATAAATGTATAAATGTGTAAATATATAGATGTATAGATGTGCGGATGTATAAATGTATAAATGTGTATGAATATATAAATGTATAGCTGTACTAACTGTAGCCCTATGAGTTATACCGTATGTTAGAGTTTGCTCTCCATATTTCCTGCCGCAGCGCTCTTTGGTATCGCGGACAATCACGTGTGCCGTCGCTGTGCCCGTGTGCTTCACAGGTCCAGCAGTACCTTTTGTCACCTTGACATTCCTTTGAAGCATGACTCTCCTCTCCACATTTTTTACAACGGTTGCTTTTTGTTCTGTCTATTCCTTTACATTCTGTCGCCTTATGTCCCAGCTTCCAGCACCTATAGCACCTTTCAAAAATGATTTTCCCCCGTATTCTGCAGCTACTCAATCCTATCTTGATACAGCCTATCTCTACTAATCTTTTCGCTTTCTCACTATCCACGGCTATTGTTGCATTTTGTCTTTCATCGCTACCCATCCTAAGACCCACTATCTTGCAACCTCCCTCTCCCACGATCTTATTTAGTTCTTCCGTAATGTCTTCCTTTGTAATTGTTGCGTCTAGGTTATTCATGTATACAGTACTGTCCATTTTCCCAGGTTCTTTTACATTATGGTTTTCAAGATTTTTTGTGAATACAGTTTTAATTTTTTCCGTGTCTGCGTCTTTATTCAACGTTATTAACAGATCCCCGTTTCTAGTTTTCCTTAGATCCATGACGTCGGTAGCATCCTGTTGGCTAACCTTCCCTTTCACTTCCCGTACCAAGTCCGCATAGCTTCGACCTTTCCCTTCTATAAGTAATGCCGGGTTATTGTAACTCCTTTTCCTACTTTGCACCAAGTTCCATCCCTCTTCATTAGTTTTTGTTCTTCCCATTTCATAGATTACCGCTATTACCTCTGCATTCACAAGCGCTATTTCAAATATCTTTCTTGTATTGTCACTTAACATGTGTTTGTCTATGATTACCGAAACCTTTTTCCTCCCCTCTTTCATCATCTTATTTTTTAATTTTACTGCCGCTTTGTATACTTTATGATCCGTGGTTCCACTTAGTTCCACCGGAAGTAAATATGTAAAGCGCTCTCCTTCCATATCCTTACTTTCCTCGTCTTCTATCGTAAAGGTTTTAGTACTCTTTATGGTAGCGATTGAACCTTCCTTAATTCGTCCTTCTTCTATTACTTTGTTTGTGTCCCCTTTATATTTGAATGAATGTTGCTCTACCTTTTTGTCATATATAATACATACGTCCTGATCGTTGTCTATTTCTTCCGGGTTGCCCCATCCTACTTGTGTCTTTACGTATGTGCTTCTGTGGAACTCCTTGCATGCAACATCCTCTATTTTCTCCCATTCCTCATTAGTCTCCTCCACTATCCTACATAGTTCGTTATTATCGTCTATTCTTTTTCCTATCATGTCCATATCTGCTTGTATACCTATTTCCCTTGTCTCCTTCCTTGTCTCCTCAGGAGGCTTACAGTTGCATGTAAATGTACTTATCTTTGTATCTTTTAGTATCCTGTTAAACCTACTTGCCAGTGTGTCAAGATCTTCGGCCTTGTCTTTAATCTCCCTCTTAGTATTTACGTTCTGCCTAACTAATGCTTTCAATTCAGCTATTCCCTCTGTTATTTTTCCCAATAGTCTGTTTATTCTTTTTTGTTCCACTGTTTCTTCCTCCTTCCTCCTTTTCTTTTCCTCCTCCGGTGTGTACACCTCTCTTTGCCTTTTGCCGCGTTTCCCTTTAAATTTATTTTCTTCCTCGTCATCACTTAGTAAAATATTAATCATTGATCCCTCCCTTGGCTCCTGTTCTACCAGTTTGTATATCTCGGACTCAAAAGGTTGTTCGTCACTAAATCCTTCGATAGTTCTTGGGGTCGGTAGATCCCCTCCCTCGTCCAAACTAATTTGGGTATCTATTCCGATTGTTCTACGCTTTTCTCCTACATCCATTGCTTTCGTGCTTATTATATCCTCTTTATGTAGTTCTTGTTTCTTTTGCATCTCAAACGTGCCTTTGGGCGTACCAAATACATCCTCTGAACTTCCTTTATTTACTATCGGTGATCGCATTGTTTTCTTGCTCCTACCAAAACCCTTTTCCAACTCTCCTTCTTCTTCCTTGCTGCTCCCAGCCTGTTTTATGTTTTTTTGTTTGTTTTCGTCCATGATAAATCCCACGAGTAGGGCCGTACTAAAAGTCCGGCGCGGCAGTGCGCCCGTACCGCGCTAAGGCCTGCAGTCCCCTCCGGTCGGCCTGGTCCTTCGGGCATCGCTCGAGACTCACCATACCCCCTGAGCCATGCATCCCATCGGCGCGATGGTGCTACACCTTAGGATTGGGGGGATTTTTTTTCGCAGGTTTACTCCTTCGGGTTATTTTTTTTCAGGGTTTTCCTTCCCTTAGCCCACTAATTCCAGTTATTTGTTTCAGACGCCGGAAGCTCGCCATAACCCTTCTCCGTTGGCTCCGAGACGTACTCCCACAGCACGCCCCGGATTTCCAGGGACCACCACGAGGAGGTGGAGATAGGATTTGCCGGTTCGTCCACACAGGACTGCGGGCTCAGCGTTTTATTGCACGGTAAGTATGGGCACCCTACCGCACCTACTGAGACCCACTGGGTCAGCCCAGACCCAAAACCCGGCCATTTGGTCCCCAACCCTACCCTACCCTACCCTACCCTACCCTACCCTACCCTTTTTTTATATAGAGGGAAAATGCATTTACGCACGCCCGGCCTGCTGTTGTTCGGCCGGGGAGTGTGGGACTCATGCTTCACTACCCACTAAAAACCCTCTGTAGCTCCCTTTTTGGCAAAGAACTGGAAATGCCAGTCGCTGGCTTACGTCAGTTCTTTACCTGGGTTTTTTTTTTACTTTTTTATTTTATTCCTCTTCTCTTCTTCTTTCCTCGATTTCTTTTTTGTTTCATGATTTGTCTAATATAGTCGGTTATTAGATTATATTTATTTTCTTCTTGCACCATTTCGGCAATTACGTTATTATCCTTTCGATTTCAGCCTTTTCCCTAGTGAACATTGAACATTCAAATACCGCGTGAGCCACGGTGTCGATTTCTCCGCAAAAGTTACATGAATCGTTTTCTGTTTTTTTCCGATTTTTTTCGTGAAGGTTTTGAATGCTCCATGTCCCACCAGAAATTGGGTGATATAAAAGTCGATCCGCCTGAAACTGCAGTTTGTCCAGATATTTAATTTTTGGGATTAGTCTCTTAGTCCATTGGGCTTTCTCTTGTTGATCGTTCCATCTTCTTTGCCACATTTCCATGGTTTTTGCCCTGGCCTCTTTCTTAGTTACGTTTTGTTTCAACATTTCTACGCGTTCGAAACATAGCAGGTCGATCGGCACTATCCCGGTCACAACCGAGAGTGCCTCTGCGGACGCGGTGCGGTATGCACTGGCAATTTTAAGCAGCATCCTTCGTTGGGTCCTTTCCATCATATGTAAGTATTTTTTAATTTTCAGGGCTTCGTGCCATACTGGTGCTCCGTACAGTAGGATGGAGTGAATCACTCCGCCCAATACCTCCCTTTTTTTGCTGCTAGGGCCTCCGATGTTTGGCATTAGTTTTCTGATTTTCAATGACTTCTCTTCTGCTTTCTTGCATACCGCTTTTATGTGTTCTCCAAACGTTCTTCGATGATCAAGCTGTATTCCGAGGTATCTTAGAGACTTAGATGGCACAATTTTTTGTGAACCGATTTTAAGGACTATTTGGTCTCTTATCTTTTTCTGGACTGTTCCCTTTAGAATGACCGCTTCCGTTTTATGTGTCGCCAGTTTTAATTCGTTGTCCGTCATCCATTCCGAAATTCTGATTAGCGATTCGTTAGCCTTTGAGACTAGATCTTCTTTATTATTCGATTGGATTAATAGGGCTAGGTCGTCTGCAAATCCTACGCTGTGGCAGTCTTCAGGCAGTTCGACTCAGGCTGTTATGACATTTATTGCTTCCTCTGATACTGTCCTGTGCGCACTCGCTATTCTCAATAGTATACGTCTTTGGGTTCTCGCTAGCATATTCTTGTATTTTTTGATTTTTAATACTTCGGCCCATACTGGTGCCCCGTACAGTATTATGGAATGAACCACGCTGCCTAGTACCTCCCTTTTTAGACTGTTAGGTCCCCGGCGTTTGGCATTAGTTCGGATAGAATCGCTGTCTTCTCATCTGCCTTTCCACATATTCTTCTGATGTGCTCCGCGTAATTTCTGTTGTGGTCCAGGTAAATTCCAAGATATTTTAATGATTTGGCCGGTGTTATCTCATGATTTCCCACTTTAATTTTAACCATTTCCCTGATTTTGTCGAACTTTGTGCCCTTTAGGATTACAGCTTCGGTCTTTTGCTGAGCCAATTTGAGTTCCTTTTTGGTCATCCACTCCATGATTCTTAGTACTGACTCATTTGCATACAATATTACTTCCTCTCGATTTCTAGCTGGGATGATTATCGCCAGATCATCCGCAAAAGCGACACTAGTGCACTCTCCCGGTAGTCTCACGTCTAGTACTTGATCGTACAGCAAGTTCCATAAAGTAGGCCCTAGTACCGATCCTTGCGGTACTCCTGCTGTCACTATTAGCTCGTTGTTCTTGTCTATTTGGAGTCTTCTATTCTCAAAGTATTTCTTAATAACGGATATGAGGTGTTCGTTCACGTGTTTTTCCCTAAGTGCTTCTATGATGTAACTCCATTTCGCCGAGTTAAAAGCATTTTCTATATCTAACGTGATAAGAACTATCCACTTAGAATTACTCGCATTTACGAAGTCCATTACATATTTAACTGCTTGGACAGTCGACTTTCACCTACGGAACCCGAATTGCCTTCTTGATATCCCGGTTTCTCCTATGTCCTTTTCTATCCTTTCCTTCAATAGTCCTTCTAGTACTTTACCGAATACGTCTAATAGACATATCGGCCTATAAGATTTTGCCTCTTCCAACGGTTTCTGTTGTTTCCTTAAAAGGACTAGCTTCGCTCTTTTCCAGATATCTGGGAAATCAACATTTTGCAATAGCTTGTTGAAGATCTTTAGAACCATTTCGGGTTGCATCTCTATGGTTTTTTTTGTTTTTATTTTATTCGCCACTTCTACAAGTTCTTCTTGTGTAAATGGGGTAACCTCGCTTTGTGCTGTTCTATTATCCAGCCGATCTACTGTTAGTGGGAATAGTTCTCTAGCAATCTCAGTTTTTCTGTTGACTGATAGCGTATATGGGTTTGCCGGTCGGAGATGTTTCATTACCAGTGCGTAGCCTTGGCCCCAGACGTCTTGATCTAATTCATTTATAAGTTTTCTCCAGCATTCTTTTTGGCTTTTATTTATTAGCTTTTTTAGTTCTTTTTTGTTTCTTTTCAGATCAATTTCAATTTTATTTATCAACATCATGTTGCATTGTGTCCTCATTCTTGTTAGTTGCCTTCTGATTCTTACGCATTTCTTTTTTTGGGAACCTATCTCCTCCGTCCACCAATACGGGATTGCTCTGCTAGGGTTCACATTTCTAATCGTCGCCCTTCTTAGACTCGCTTTGACCTTTCCGACAAGTTGTTGAGGTGTGGTACACTTTATTCCCTTTGCTAATTCCTTGCTATACTTATTTACATCGACGTAGCTATTACATATTCGTTTGTTGGTAGTCCCCGTTACCTTGTCCGCTATCTCGTAATATATGAACTTATGATGTGTAAACACCTCTTCGTCTAATGTCTTCCAGTCTTTTACCAACTTCATTAGTTTTTCCGATACGCACGTTACATCGATGTGGCTCTCTGTCGTTCCTCTTATAAACGTTGGTACTCCGGTATTTGCTGCTACTAGGTTTAGTGTTGACATCCATTCTCTCCAGACATTTCCCCTTGCGTCTGTGTATGGCGAGCCCCACGCTGTGGATTTAGAACTAATGTCCCCAGCTATAATTAGTGCGTTTATATTTTGTTGACTGGCTTTTCCCATCATAGTATCGACGATCTTCTCATAGTTTGTTAGGTCTATATTCGGGCTTATATAACAACAGATTAGCGTTATTCGTTTGAAGAGAATCATGAGGTAACCATTTTCTGTATCTATTCTTTCTATGCCACAGTTTTTGTTCCTGATAAAGACCGTTACCGAACTTTTTTTATCCAGAATCCATCCTTCCTTCCTCGTATATGCGATATTGGGCTCTGATACTATAATTATATCTATTTCATAATTAATTGCTGTTTTTAGCAAAATTTCGTGCGCAGCCTTTGCTCTGCCAATATTGGCTTGTAGAACTTTCATTTACGATGTAGTTTGTTGTTTTGCGATGTGTTGTTTGTTGTTTTACGATCTGTTGTTTGCTGTTTGTTGTTTGTTGTTTGGTTGTGTGTTGTTTGTTGAGTTTACTGTTAGGTCTATTAGTTTTAGTTCGTTCCTTCGTACGATGATAGTACCTTGTATCTGTTACTTGTTTTTAATGTCGTGGCGTATTCGCTTTGGAATGGTGTTTGTCCGTTTCCTGTTTCCTCTGAGTTTTCTGTTTTGTCGGTTTTTTGTGTCATGTTCGATACGCTCCGCCTGAATTTTCTTTCTGCTTTTATTAGGGCTTCCTTGAATTTCAAGCACATCATAGTCCCGAACTTGTGGGTGTCCGTTTCGCATAGGGCACATGCCTCCTTTTCGCATTCTTTGGCTAAATGCCCTTCGCCACCGCATTTGTAACAGTCTTTGCCCCTGTCCTTTTCCTGACACTCATTCGTTGCGTGATCGTACGACCAGCATTTCATGCATTTCTGTACGTACACTTTTTTCTCAGTTCTACATCTATTTGGTCCGATCTGCACGTAATCCTCCGCTAGTAGTTTTTCTGCCCTTTCTTTTTCCATAGTTATCGTAATTGCTTGGGTTTTTTTTGCGTTAGGCCTTAAGTCGCTTGCACTATCCGTATCTTCTTTC